CCCAATCACCAAACCATCGGATTCCGCTACTGGCACAATCCGGGAGCCTGGACGAACTACAACGGCATCACTGGCCCGACCGGGCACTTCCTCGGATTCTTGTCTGCCTTTGTCAACGCGTCCTTCAGTTTCGTTGGTGTGGAAACAGTCGTCATCACTGCCGCCGAATCGGTCGACCCGCACTACTCCATCCCCAAAGCTGCCCGTCGCGTGACATACCGTATTGCATTCTTCTACATCCTCGGTGCACTCCTCATCGGACTCATTGTCAGCCCTACAAACAAAGATTTGGTTTCTGGTTCCGGCAATGCCAACAGCTCTCCTTGGGTCATTGCCATCAAGCAAGCCGGAATTAGCGCTCTGCCGTCTATCGTCAACGCCTGTATTCTTATATCGGCTTGGTCTGCAGGCAATTCCTATTGCTGGGTAGGATCGCGCATGATCGTGGCCATGACGACCGACCGCCAGTTACCGCAGGTGTTTGGCCGGGTTAACAAGATGGGCGTGCCATACGTTGCCGTCATCACCTCCTGGCTTTTTGGCCCGTTGGCATACCTGAGTAAGTAATTTTGGTTTCATTGCGTCAGATCCCGATTAACGGTTGCTATAGGTCTTGGCTCCGGCGGTCCGGCGCAAGCTTTCGACTGGCTTCTCAATCTGAGCACCATTGCTGGACTAATCGCGTGGGCGACACTGTCCTTCTGTTACATTCGCTTCCATTCCGCCATGAAAGCGCAGGGCGTCAGTCGGGACACTTTGCCCTGGAAGTCGCCCTTCCAGCCATACACGGCGTGGGTGGGTTTCATTGGCTCAACAATCATCACCCTGGTGGCGGGTTTCCCCGTGTTCCTCAAGGGTAACTGGTCCACTTCGGACTTTTTCGCCTCGTATGTGGGCATTCCTATCTTTATCGTGCCGATTATCCTCTGGAAGGTTTTCAACCGCACGAAGGTAAGCAGCCCCGTCTTCATCTGGTGTCGAGTGGTGTAGCTAACTGGCGGTGCAGTTTCAGCGCAGCTCCACCATCGACCTCTGGTCCGGTCGGCTGCAGGAGGGCGAGATTGTCATTCGAGAGGGCGGGCCCAAGACCCGTGTGAGACGCTTCGTGGACTGGTTCTTCTAAGTGTGGACTGGCTCCAAATTCAACTTTTTCTGTGCATTTGTGCATCTTTCGGCGGAGATACCCATTATGTTTTTCATGCAATTTCAACAATTTGCAAACCGTCACAAAAGTCTTATACTTTTTCTATATACATATTATACACGTTTAATTTATTCCGGGCGGAGCTGTTCGCGAAGCCTCTTGATATCATTGAACGAAGCCTTGCAGCAACCGCCCACGAGGATGGAGCTGAACTGGCCAGTGGCGGCAGCATCATTGACCACCTGTGACAATTGCACCTCCCAGGGTCGCTGTCAAATCAGTCAGCACATACCATCCAAAATCACAACCAATAATCAAAGAATCACTTACCGAATCAGCTGCACCACTCTTATCCTGAACCTTCTCCCACGTCTGCGTAGCAGTATTATAAACCTCTCCCTGCGTACCATCGGGATACAGCACCAACGCCGGCCTCTCCTGGATCCTCCCATCCTTCAGCAACCTCTCCACTGCATCGCCAAACAACCCAACCAACCTAGGCAACTTATGAAGCTTCGTACAATTAATACCAATGCCCCACGGCGTCGCACCCCCCTCAAGCGGCAACAACATCGCCTCCACCACCTCATCAACGGTACTCCCATCAGGCAAGGTATCCTTATCCTCGATGGGGAAAACACACGCCACCCAAAACGGCACTCCCTCACAAAACCCCTTCGAAGACCCCACAGCCCTCCTCACAGCCCTCACCTCATCAATCCTCGGCACCGTCTCCATGGCAATATACTTAACCCTCTCCCGCAACCCCTTCCCCTCCATCGCCTCATCATCAAAAAGCCCCAACCGATCCGTATGCCACCTCCACAACTTCTCCTCATCATCATGCTCCCCATCATACTTCCCGCTATACTCCTGCCCGGGGATCATGCACGCGCCATAGGGGCCCAAACTCAGCGCCACAGAGGCCGTCGTATCCTGCACCGCTTGTCCGGCGACGTCGAGCGCGGTGCGCAGGTAGGGGGCGATACTGGCGCGGGGGATTCCCGACGGGTGCGAGGGGGTTTTTGTGCGCTGGAAACCCTCCGGGGAGACTTGGTAGGTGGCGGTGAGGAGGACGTCGACGGCGGCGGTGGTGGTGAAGTCGCGTTGGCAGGAGAGGAGGGTTTTAGGGTCGGAGATCATTAGGTGCGAGGACCAGAGCGGGGTGGTGTCGCTGCTGAAGGTGATGTTGTAGTGGTCTTGTAGGGAGGTGCCGAGACCGCCGTCGAGGATTAGGATGGGTGTTGGTGGCATTTTGGGATGTGTTTGTTGGAATATTTGATTGATTGATTGGTGATGGTGATGGTGTGTTGAGTTGAGAGTGAAAGAGGGGAGAGAATATTTCTTCAGGTTCTGGTGGTATTGCGACAACGGGAATGGAAATGGGCTTTGCTGCCCCGCAGTAATGTGGGGTTGTTTGCGTAGGTTGCAATTTGCGATCGGGTTGGGGTGGATTTATCGGAGTTTCATCATTATTTACATGATTGCTGCTGTGCGGAGATACTTTGCAGTATAAACAAGTGTAATATGAAAATAGCTATGGATACTGGCGCCGTGGAGTGGTTGGCATTGTGCATGGATTTCTTCATGGGTTGAGATCACGGGACGTCATTGAGTGTCTATTAGACATTCCAGCCAAGCCATTCCGCTCTGTTCTAGAAGCTCAGTCGCACTTTGACAGGCGGATTCGCTGTCCTCTTATGCCCCGGGCGGAATTGGTACAGAATTAACCCTTGGACTTCATTTTTATCAATTTGGTTCCAGAGACGTCTTTGGTGTTCTGATGCTAATAACGTCTCAGACCATCACATTACTTCCTCGTGAAACCTTCGCGACCATATACCATCCACAACCGTCACAATGAAAAAACAATGCTCTCTCAGTTGACCGCATAGTCTAGGCAGCTATCTCCTACTCTTCAAAACATTGCATCGACAAGAAAAGATCTCCATAATAGAATACTGCACACTGCCGATCTATGAACTATGATGCGAGCGGTGTGCCATCACTGTGACAGGCACCAGCATCACCACAGCTAAGCCATCATTCTATTTATGCACTCCAAGTTAATGAAGCGCAGTAAATAATACCTCGGCAAACCCACGAGTGGATAACAAGAAAGGAAGTTACAGGCAATATACCCACGCAGGATGATCATCTGAGGCTTATTCCTCGCACCAATCAAGCTGTCACCAGTGGAAATTGATTGATAGGCAGCGCCGTTCTCATACGCTAGGGAGTAGAAAAGTGGAATACTGTTCGTAATTCTATGTTAGGTTACTGTACAACATAGTATGACATCCATGTCAAATCTGCGACCGTCCCTGTCTGGATTGTGGCTTTGATCAATAGTCCCTCCGCGCCGTCATGTCGCACCCTGATACACAGCCCCAGCCACAATGTTCCACCTAGAGTGATCTATTAGATTAGATGCATGGGATGGGCACATATCCCAGGGAGCTAACAATAAGCCACTTTGACGACTAGCACTGTCACGGCGGCTAACTCCTCCATGAGGATACCACTCACTGCCACTCACAGGTTCAACCAGGAACAGTCAACCAATGACAAGGAATGGATACGTACATAGTATCGAATAGACCCTGCAGAGTTTTACAATGATGGACAGAGACGGACAGACAGACAGACAGACAATATTCGCAATCCGATGCAAGGGACCATGGAAAACAACCGGTCGGCCCAACGGTCTAACAAAACCAGACCCTGCTCCATACTGTCACTGCCGCAGTATCTTTATCCCGGGCCAATCTGACTCGGTAATAGTGTCCGGTAACCAGGGAAAGATAGGTGGAAATCGGTACGCAGCAAAAAAACGAGAATGAGGTTGCCTAGGACCATTTAGGCGATAGTGCTAAGAATAGATCAGCATTGGCACAGCCCCATTGGCCCAGCGTCCAAGCAAAGCTTAGGTAAAGCTTGGAGAAACTGCCCTGTTGTATTGTAATGCCTGTGTAATGGGGATTGTCTCTCGTATTCGGATTGAGGAGGAGAAAGCAAAGAAGCAACGCGGCGGCGTTTCGACTGACCAAAATTCAGTCGGGCGATGGGAGCGAAAGCAGTATGGTTAGTTGCCGATCCGCAATACTACTATGTATTTGGGCGAATTCAAGGTTTGCGGGAGACATGAAAGTTACGGGACTATTGATGTTGGATGATACCATGGTGATACCTACTTACTTACCTATCAGATTGCTCATCACAGAGTTCATAGTAAGCGAAGTAAGTAGTAAGCATCATACTTGGTTAATCACCGAGAAACATAGAGAGAAAGAAAGAAAGAAAGAGAAGACTGACACAGACATCATCCTCCCTCCTCACCTGGATCTCTGCATGAACCGCGCGTCTATAACACCTCCCAATTATAGACAAGCATCCAAGTTTCATCAACCACAACACAGCCCAGCCAACCCAGCCACGGCAAACCCGGCACAACACAACACAACATCTTCCCAGACAAGACGGACAGCCAAGAAATCATGGGTTGATCCGGCGAATCCCATGACAAACAAGTCGGCCGTGCCAAGAAATTACTAGCCGGCAGGGCTGAGCGGGAGGTTGACGTGGACCATCTCGTGGCTGTGAGTGGCTGAATTCAACCCAACCTCCCCGCTTTCTCTTTCTCAGCATGAAGCATGCAAAAAATACGGATTATTCTTTTCTGTTTTTGTTGTCTTCTCTTCGCTAGTAGCCTCCCCACCCGTATCATTACACCATTAATACACTGACGCTTACTTTACTTACTAACTTACACCCTGACCCACACGGAATGAATCGCCTGGTCGGGCTGGTCGTGGACCCCTGATCCAGAGAAATTGTATTGGGGATGGATGGGCGGATGGATCCGATCATCGCTTTTTAAAACATAAATAGCGGGTTGTTGCTCCTCGCTTTCATTCATTTTGTTACAACTGTCTACTACCTACTATCATCTACTTAGATACTCATCTACAACTCTATTTCCATCCCTATCTACCCATCTACTACACTACACCACTCTACAATCAAAATGGTCTTCAACTGGTTCAAGTCTTCCAAGGAGGAATCCACCTCTACCCAACAACCCTCCTGGGACGCCAACACCATGACCATGCAGCAGCCTTCTAGCCCCGAGGCTCCTTCCACCGAGCGCGTCGTTACGCAGCAGCCTGTACGATAAATCCCTTTCTCCAACAAATATCAAATACATGGAATAAATAAACTAATGATAATTTCTTCTCCACAGAACACCCAGGAAGAAATGAAGATGGGTCTGCGTGGTGGTGGTGCCGGTGATGTGTGCTGCGGAGTGTATGTTTATCCCTTCCTTCCTTTCTTTCCTCTCTTTCACCTATATTCCCATCATGACAGTGGAGCTAATTGTGATCATCGTCTAGTTGCGCTGGTCTTCTCTGCTTCGAGTGCTGCGAGGAGTGCTGCTAAGCAAACACCTTCCTCTCATACATACGTTCGACTACTGTCTCCGTATCTTGATGAACAAAAGATAAAAAAGAAAAAAAGAATAAGGAAACGGACATGTGCTGCCCATCTGTGACACGAGCTATGAAATGCGGACCTGGGTCGATGATTCCATGGATGTGGACGATGGATGGTGTTTAGTTGGTTTTGGATTTGCCCTTGCGAGATCGCTTATACCCGGTGTTTCTATCACATCTACTATTTCTCTGTTTTCGCTTGGTTCTAGAAATGAATTGAGACAAAATGATTGCTTGTTCGATGGTTGTTCAGTGCGCTGTAGATTAAACTTCATTTTGAGCTATCATCAGATGGCAGTCTTGTCGCGCGCTAACTATGCTTTGCGAATATTGTAAGTCCGATTTTGCGATTTCTTAGTCCATCAAACTACGCTGCTCTTTCTCATATGTCACCTGCTTCGGACCCATCGTGCCGGGCCCGTACTCCACGCTACCATCCGCGAACAGACCAACAGACCTGACCAGTCCTCCGCTGATGTCGTTGATGACTTGGCTGAATTGTAGACCCCGGTTCACCTTGCATCGAGTTGTGGCCGACTCGCAATGAGCCACCAGGGCAGCCGCCGATCGAAAGATGCGAAGACATCCAGGGCACCTAATAAGTCGTGAGTCAGACCATAGTCAACCGTCATCCAAGCATGCAGCAGCTTACTGAATGCCTCTGTTCTGGTTGGTCTTCGTTACGACATGTTCCTCAAAGTCTCTCATGCTGGAGAATTCAGCCTTACAGGGGCAGATAAACTTTCCGTTGAAGGAACTGAAGTATACGGTAGGGTCCCAGTTCCGGTCCAGCGCCCGGAGAGTGTGTCCTGCGTCAAAGTGGTCAATGCCGAAGGAGTTGCTTGAGCCTGGGCTTGGGCTCGCTGGCCTCGCGATCTTTCCGGCCGATGCTGATTGTTCTCTCGTCTCGCTCACCAAAGACGGAGAAGCCATCGACGACTTGCTCTTCGGTTCCGGGACGTCGTCAAGAGATAGACCGCTCACCCCGCCCACAACAGATTGAGTGGCCTCGTCGTCAGGGTCCATCTCCAAAAGGTCCTGGTCAATATGGACTCCGCCGTTGTCATCATGGCAATCGGGTTCAGCGCTCTCACCCTCGTTACCTGTCTTAAGTGCCTCTCGAAAGAGGAGTCTCTTTGACTGTTCCTGTAGCAGACTAGACAAGGGGATGTTGGGGCAATCGCCGCTCTCGACGTGATTTACCATAGCACCTGCCATTCTGAATTTCTGCCCGCAGCCGTAACAGGTCAGGGTCTGCGGAGTTCGGTGTTGCTGTATAGACATCAAAGAATTAGCTTGGAATGATGTGACGGGTCAACAAATGTCAATATGAAGGATACCTACCTGGCGCGTGTGAAGGTCTCTACCACCCTCGCTGCGGAAATCGATCCCACAAACTACACACACGATATGCTTGTCACTCTTGATCTTGTGGAGCAGGAGATACTCATCATCCTGGAAATCCTCGTCGCAACGGCTGCAATAGTCGTGTTCGTTCACCTTGTGCCTCTTCATCTCTCCTTCTGATTTAAAGACACCACTGCACTCCTTGTAGGTGCAGGGCACCCTGGTGATAAATGCTTGAGTGGACATCTTGAACTCGTCAAGTATCTTGTCAAGTAGATGTGGATGGAGTGTCTGAATGGTAGAAGGGGGAGTAGAGTAGTTTTGGACAGGGAGATTAGAAGAGTGCGCTGGTCAAAGTCTGCTAAATTCACCGAACTGGCGATGAATGAGAGTCACCCTAGACGACACCTGCCTAAACAGGAAGGCATGCACTCGAAGCGAGACGGAGTGAAACTTGCTGGGAAGCGTTTCATCTTTCAAGATTTATTGGGGGTTTCTCATATCGCATGAAATGAGGTGGCATTGAAGCAGGAATGAACTAAGCAAATTCATTACTTTTCTCTCAATTTGTACCTACAACCAGTCATTACAGGCCCACTAGCCACATACTAAAGACGATTCAGAGAAGAAATTCATTATCCAGTCATTTACAGAACACTATATATGCATTCACCAAACCCGATCTCCTACACTGCACATTTAGAACCGCGAGAAGGGCAGCCTAACAAAGTTAGTATACCATCAGCGAAGCAACCATCGATCATCTAAAGAACTCACCACTTTCCACGCAGAGTAATCACCGCCCAGTTATTTCCATCTGCATCCGTCTCCTTCTCCACTTTGGTCGAGAAAGAGATAGCGCTCATGATACCATCACCGAACTTCTCATTCAGCACCGCCTTGTATGCGTACCCGTAGTTCTGCACAATCTCATACAACCGGTAAATCAAGGGCTCCTTGGGAGGCATCTCCACGGTGCGACCACGGTCGGGGAAACCACTAAGCCTTTCTTCCAGAGCATCGTAGGGAATGGTGAGGAGCGATGCGAGTTTCTCGATGTCTTCCGGGGAAGCCTTGGCCTGGCCATAGAAGATAGCAGCGGTAGCCACTTCATTGCGGCCAATGTGCTGGGCGATTTGCTCGAAGCTTAACTTCTTGGCGGCTTTGGCCTTGAAGAGGGTCTCCGAAGCGGACGGGAGGTTGGGATGCTGGGCAGTCTGTTGATCGAGGGTGATGAGCTCATGCTTTCTTCCTATTCTCGGCATTATGTATTGGAGGGAGGGCTTACGTCAAGAGTGGCGAGAGACATTGTGTCGGTAGAATGTTGAGGCGGAAACGGCGACGGAGAAGAGTTGATGAGATAGAATTGAAGTAGAGGAAGAGGGGATTCTAAAAGCTAGCTGCCAAGATCAAGTAGATGGAGATGGAGGGGTGTCATTCTTAAATAATCGGCGGTGATCCGCTTTTCTCCAACTGTGGTGCGGGGTACCTGCCGTCTCGCTGCAACGGTGGGGAGCTCATGCTGTGAGGGGGAACATCAACAATGCCATTGCTTCCGTTTAGATGTTTGTGTCTTCTTCGAGCCTTTCAGTGAAGTATCACAACTATAGACTCACTGGTAGGTAGAGACATTAGCAGCACACCAAATAAAGCTATAGTGGTTATCGCTGTCCTCCTGCAGCCGTGAAAACGTCACTTGCATCTCAGATAAGATACTGCGGGGTTCCGCCGAGGTCGGATCAACACCCAACCGCCTGGCAGCTACTTTGACACCTGTCAGATTGTCAATCTAACAGACATACAGGCCCAATCGAATATAAATAAGAAAAAAAAAAAAGATCAAAATAATGTTCTTATGTATATATAAGATATTACTTCTGACTGACTAAATATAGTATATAATTTTATGGACATAGATATTACTAAGTATGTGGCGGTTCTTGAGTATTCTGGGTGTGATGGGAGCCATTGTTGTTGTAAGCATGGGTCTTGCTCGCTGGCAGAAGCTGGTCTAGTATGTTAGTCTCAGATATTGTTTTCGGTTTCAATCTGTTTTCTTTCTTCTTAACGATCTATTTCTGCCTTGTTGATATCCTTCTCTGTGCTGGCATGAAGCTCCGTGAGCGTCGTTGTGTTATTATGTGGATTACTGACAACAATTATATACTATACGGATATATCTCATAACATTCTTATTGCTCATAACGTAGTCCTAATTTTACAAATGCTCTTACTCCGTCCTTCTATCTGATATCAAACATGCCCAATACCAAGCAACGGTCCAAAACAACCCCCCATCAACTCCTCCATTGTGATATCGAAATCAAACCCAAACGAATTCGGATCAGCATGAATCCCCTGATCCATATTCTGATTTTGCACCGCCAACTGCGACCCATCATACGACACATAAGACTCACTCTCAACAATCTTCGCCGCCTCCAACTGAGCAACCTGATACGCCTTATCAAACCACGTCGCAGCAGCCAGAGTCCACTTATGATAATGCGAAAATACCCCATCCTTGCACGTCTTCGCAATTGCATCGAGACGAGCCACAAAGAACTGAAGCATCTTCGGCATATCAAGCGCGTCACGAAGCTCCTGTACCTGTGTATTATGGCGGAGTGAAGGGTGCAAAGCTGCCAGAACTAGTTTGCATGCGGCGGCAACCAAAAACCCCGATGATAGCCAGATCACGATGCTGTAGTTCCTTTCTATCATTGGTGGCAATTTGAGGTAATAGTCGAGAAATCTCTTTGAGGCTGCTAGTCCGTGGCAGAGGGTGTCGCTTCGGGAGACTAGGAGAAAGCTGTCGGATGGTGAGGATGCTGCTTTGGTGTCTATGAGACTTATTTGACATATCTGAAGTTCTAGGGTGTGGTATTGTGTTGCGATGAATGCTGTATAGAAGGAGTTTATTAGCATCGTCGTGATTTACATCGCTCAAGTGCATGTCTCAAGGGGAGGGACTCAGTAAGATACTGAATTACTCACGGTCACAGGTTGGATCAACAGGTAATTGGTTCTTATACTGTTCAACTTCTGCTCTAAATGCTCGAATATGTTGCTCCACGTCCGGATGGCGTTCAATACTACTCATAGTAAGAGCATCCAACCTCTGCAGCATATGCTGTAACTGGACGTAATAGATTATATACCGATCAGTAGGATATTCGGCCACCCGAGACAAGTCTTCAGCTATTGACTCTATAAACGGTGTCCAGGGCGTTGTGCAAGTCTTTTGTCTGATAATAGCATCACTGATGGAACGTGTAAGTATGAGTCTCGTTTCCCTTGAAGATCTTCACTTACGTAGAGTTGAGTAGGAATAATCCTATCAGGGCCCGGCTTTCATCGGCGACTGTCCCTTTTCTTGTTTCATCGCATTCGTCACCCACCTCAAGCCGTGTGGCGACTCTGTACTTCGGATGTCGATCGAGTCGTTCGTTGATTACTACACCAACGGCAAGCTGCATGTAATACGGAAATCGGCATAATTGATGCCTCTGGCGTGTTCTATTTGATATTTAGTATGTGTTTCCCTAGTTACGAAGTCAAGAGCAAAATCTCAAGGCCATACATACCCAGCTAAGATGATCAATAGTCCCTGTAGAATTTCGAAAGAAGGCGGGTGGCTGTCATGCTCTGAGCAAAGGACCTCATTTGATACATAGGATTGCAGAACTTCTTCTAGTGACTTTTGCAACGAGTCGTCGTGGAAGGAGCAAAAGACCAGAATACAGAGAAGTACGAATGGCTTCTCGGCTCTTAGGTTGTCGACCGTGGTGCTTGCGGGCACCATTACAAATGGGAAGAACAGCATGGCTTCACGGTACTGATCTAAGAGCTGAGTTGCGCATTCATGGCTGACCAGACCCATTTTTATCACATCGATAGTATCGGCGTGTGGGTAGGTACCGCTGACTTCACTCTTCGGGGTGTGATATTGATGCTCTGGACGTCGTGGGGTGACGAGGTTGATCTGGCCCATTATTTGATCAATT